AAACCGTATACTGATTACAAGTGCATACATGTTCACTGAGGGCTTCCTGTGCACCTAAAATTGTAGCCTAGCCAGCTTTTATGGAGCTCTTTATTTCAGAATAAAGCTGATCATCTAAAGCCCAGGATATGAGTAGCCCAACTGGATCTCAGTTGTGGTTGTGGATCCTCAAAATTTTAAATAAATCGGGCCTCACATTACCTGTTAGAGACCACACAGTCAGTCAGTGAAATGTGTTGTACTTTTTCCAGCTGCTCATAGGCTCACAAAAGTATGAGGTTTAAAAGAAATGAAAAAGTGTCTTCAAATGTTATAAAGTTTAAACAACAAAGAATTGGACATTGCTAGTTACATCAAGCACTTATTGCTCCACTCTATCTCATGTTTCCTTTGATCTATTTTAAAGTCATTGCAAACTTTGTTAAAATCCAAATTCCACAATCTTCCCCCCCCCGCCCCCCAAAGTGTCCTTTTGCCTTGGACTCATATTTTGAGAAGCCTACTTCTTTTGTGTTACTAAAATGCCAAGATTTTAATGGAATGCTTTATTAGGTTTCCAAGTGCTTCTGGCCAATAACAAGCAAAGTTCAGCTCAGTAGTTTTAATCTCACAAACATCAAATCTGTTTTCCCTGCATGTGAGAAGAGCCATGCAGCTCTTAAGAAGATTAAAGCTATAAATTCTAACATTACAAGGGCCAATACTTTCACAGTCCAGATCAGGATGGGTTATTTTATGTAAGTTTGTCCTCATGTGAATTTCTAATACTATTCCTTGAGTTTTGACTGGGCCTCCCCCTCCTCTTATCCAGCTGTGTACTAAAGTATGCTATTTGTAGAAGATGAATATATTGCTTTTTCTTTTTTTCTGTCTCTTTATTTCGATATTAGGAGGTAAATTAAATCATTTTCATTATCAGTGCAGCTCAGAAAACCATCTGTTGCTCAAAGACACCAGGATCAGCAGTCAGCCACCCTCAAAGTAAGCAGCTGTAAATCTAGAGTGACTATACTTTCTAAATGCAGAGAGGCTTTTACATTAATCTCCTGGACTTGCTGAGTAGCTGGTACAGTGCCCAAACACAAGTAAACTCAATTAGTAAAAATAGACATGATGTAGCACTTCAATATACGGTGTTTAAGCATGTGTTCTACAAAGCAGAAGTGCTCTGTTCAAGTCCCAGATACTCTGCTGTTCTGTTCTGCACATGTGATTCACTTATTTTCCTGGCTGCCAAATACCTCATAAAAAGCAGTAGCACTGTTCTGTTTTCATAAAGATGCAGTACTGCTGTCATTTACATAGGTGTGGATCGGAAGAAACTCATGCAAATTTTTAGGACTCTGGATGTTCAGCAACTCTCAAAAATTGTACTTTACAGTTGTCCCTGGAAAGCTACTGTGCAAACCAGCTTTAGTGTCCTTGTGTTTTTTATTTGCAGATTACATGAAACATACTATTACCAGCAGATAAGAAACATTTGCAAGAAACATACTTTTTGGAGCTTTGCTCTGCGTTACAGGGTGGATCTGGGTACATTACTTTGCAGCTTGAGACTATGGGCAAGTTTCCTTCTTTACCTCCTTTAGCAATATAGCAGGCTACACCTTTTTTTTATGGCAAGCTGATCAAAGCCAATTTATTCAAGTGCAAGTTCTCTAAGATCCCTGTGCTCCACTGTGTAACAGAAGGGCTTAGGTCTGGGTGTGGTGTTCTTGACCTTCTAGTCTTTTGTCTTTCCAGCCTGTTTTGCTTCCTCTGTCTGCCCAGTTTTAGCCAGAAGAGTGATCTAAAGAGACCCTGTTTGTTTTCCGTGCACATTATGATAGGCTGCCATTGTGTAACAACATACAGTATGCAGGATAAAACACCCTGCTTATTATAGTGTAGTTAAAAGGCCTGTCACTATTTCCATTTCAAATTCCTATTTTCAGGAGTTTACTACTGAGCCGTAACAAATTGCAGGCAGGAAACTTGGCAGTCACATTCCCAGCCTAAGAGCAAATGCTTTAACCAAGTTTAAATAAATAAATAAATTAATATTAATGGCAAGTGCTTCCAGCATGCAAAAGAAAGGAGGTTTTGTTATTGTTTTGTTTGTTTTATCCTTGAAACAAATGATGACGATTAAGGAGGGTATTTACATACCAACCACCCTTATACAAGAGTTATACACCAGACCATGAGCAGTGTTACCAAGTGATGGAGATGATTATCTGGTGGTCATTCCTAACTCTCCTAAAAGGAATAGCAAGAAAGGAGGACTATTAATCAATGGATATAAGGTATTAATTCCTAAATATTGGGAAAGGCAGAAGAGAGTTGTATATCATAAATACTTACAGTGCTAACAAAGCACAGCTTGATAACCATGGTGGGTGAGAGTGAAATTCTTTGGGGTTAGCTTAAAAGGAGCAAACATCAAAGAAAACAAAATAATAACACTGTAGAGTTGAAGAGTTTGAAGTAGAATAACTAACAGGTGAAACATTTGAAGGGTAAATGTATTTTCAATATATTTTAAAAATCCAGATTTTAATTATACAGCCAAATATTCAGAGTTTGAAGTCTTGAAATAATTAAAAACCACTTTTTGGTCTGTTGTGCAGATAGCAGGGATTTCAAGCTGGCAAATTCTTCACACTTATCTTTCTATTCATTGAAGATTTGAGCACTAGAGGGAATCTGGGTACTGGTGACCATAAACTACACTAGTTCAATGTGCTACTAAGGGAAAGTGCCACTACAAGAGTAACAGATTCAGAGGAAGCAATATACTGGAACTTAAGTAATCCATTTAACATTTTGCTTAGTAAGAAGCGTTAGAAATGTGAACATGTCAAAGGCAAATCCTCAAAAGGCAAAATAAATAGGGAAAAGCAGGTTCTTCAAGAGTAAAAGGGGCTTGGCGGTTGTTGGAATTTTTTCTTTCATTTTGTTTTCAGAGAATTATATTTTTTGTATATTGAAAGAAGAAAACACTGTAATTTCACCTTTGGAGAAATCTACCTTTTTGTCCCACTGATTGTTTGCCATTTCTGAAAAGTCAGCTGGCCTCAAAACTGCAGTCTTTTCTCAGGGGGTAACTGTTCTGAGAGATAAGTCACATAATGGAGTATTTCACTGCATCATTTACTGCAGACAGCATTACCTGTGTGCCTATGCTGTAAACTGCCTGGGGAGGAAACTTGGCCTTATATAACTGACTAGAGAATCTAGTTTGAACAGGAAAGGGGTGCTGATCCACACTTAGGGATCTGGGAGATTATTAGAATCTAAAATAAAAAAAAAGGTTTTAGAAAATCACCATAGGAAAAATTTTTATTTCCAGCTACAAGGAGATTTTGTGATCTCATTGGCGAGACCTTAAATGTGTGCAAGGTTGAGATAAATGTGTCTTAGTTCAGATAAATGGTTTTGGAGGCCAGACAATGTCTTCCTCTACAAGTTGAGCCTTTAAGGGACAGTTGTAGAGCCTGCAAGCTCCTCTTCTGCAATTTTCAGGATGATTGCTACAAGGAACTCGAAGAAACTCTTCAACTTGGCAGTGATTCCTGCTGAGCTGAAAGCTTCTGGGAATGTTCTTGGGAACCTCTGATACTCTGAAGAGACTCTAACAAGAGACAACAGTGGTGCTGGGATGCTTGCCCAGATGATAAACTATGCAGGAATTTCTGTACAGCTGATAAACTCTGCTCAGGACCCCGTGAAGCATATACATTGTGTAACAATACCTGTAGGCTCTCAGAAATACCCTTGGGGGCAGCAGCCACTGTTATTCAGTAGTCACAAGGTCTGTCCCCTCTGCTCTCTCCTCCCAAAGTGGGTACCTGGTTTGACTCAGAGTTGTTAGAGGAATTGCTTGCACTTTCCCACCCCTCTGCTCCCCCCTGCTATGCGTTTTTAACCAGCAGGGGGAAACAGGAGGGCTCAAGAATTAGAGGGCTTATGTATATATACTACATGATGAAGACTCTGCAAAGAATATATCCTATCATATAAACATGAAAGAAAAAAACGGCTGAAGTTGTAATGCAGCAAGGGTGGCAAGGTCCCTTAAATACCACTTCAGTTTGCAAGATTTTGGGGTGTATTAAGAAAAAGTTTGCTTTGAGCTGTGTCTGGAGATGGATCACTATGGAGAGGAGAGAGGTGGTGGTGCCTTCATATGCAACTGTCATGCTTACTGCAAAAGGAGCAGCATTCAGAGAATAGCAGGAAGAGCAATTGTACAGAGGTGATCTTGGCTGAGACTATCTCTGGGCTAACTTTCTTTGCATTTACCAGCAGGCAAAGGGTGTTCATCTGTGCAGTTATTGCAGGGTAGCTGGTGTCCTGTAAATCCACACCCTTGAATGCCTCACTAAAACATGTTCATGAGGCCATACCCTCAAGCACAAAGCTCACTTTAAATATATGAATCAGAAGCATTAAGACAACGGGACAACTTGTACACAATAAATTAAACACCAACTTTACACACCTAGCTGAAAATGAGCCAGTTAAGGGAGAGAAATTACTTAATACCTATGTCCTAAGAAATGAGATGTATCATGGAAAGGGGAGAGACAGATTAAATGGCAGGAAAACCATCTGGCAGTCCCACTTTTGTAGCATGTCATATTTTTCAGACCTATTATCCATATAATTGTGTGAAATAATCAGAGTTTGGTGGGAGATGCCCCATCAGTTCTGATTTTCTACACAGGAATGGACTGGTTGACAGAGGTAGTTTATGAAATGGGAAGGGTTTTAGTCAGCATGTGTTGCTAAACAAGTATGAAAAAAATGTAGATAGTACCATGGGTTTATTTTTGTTTACATTACTACTGTTTTCTCTTGTCCTTGATATGTGGAGTTGTTGCTTTTCCAAGTCCTTGGCTAAGCCTTGAGAAAAGAGGGCATTCTGTATTGCTTTTATAGTAATAATACTTGTACTTCTCTGTGTCATCACTATTCCGTGGAATAAAAGGGCAATTTTTACTATCACTTTTCTACAGGCAGAAGAACAGAGAGAGTGCAGATGTCTCAGGACTAAGACCAAGACAGAGGGACTCGAAACCAGGTAAGAATTGCAGCAGAAGCAATGAAGACTTTGACTGGTTTTGGTAACAAGCTTTCCAGCTTGGAAGAAGGTGGAATATGATAAAGGGCTGCAAAGATCTGTGTAGCATTGAGAGTATGGGTAGGGACTGGCCACTCCCTGTCTCAGTGCAAGAGCTAGGAACACTGAATGAAGCAGGCAGGATGAAGGGACTCCTCTTGCATCAGGGACTTGACCTGTGCAATGTGACATAGCACATACCTGCAGTTTACAGATGGCAATGGAGCAGACTGTACAAATCTTGGGAGATAAATCCTCTGAGGATCACTAAATGGGCAGAAACCTCATTCTGCTCAGGTAGTTCCTTAAGCTGAAAATAGTGGGAGGCTGAATAGTATGTGGATAGAGTAGTATATGTCTCCCTAAGCATCTGCTTATGATCACTGTTGTCCTATGGCCACTGTGTGGCCATTCTTATGTCCTCTTGCACAAAGAAGATGAGAGGATTCCCAAGACAAGAGGAAATGGCCTCAAGTTGCACCAGGGGAGGTTAGAATTGGATATTAGGAAAGATTGGTTTTTTTACAGAAAGGGTTGAAAAGAATTGGAACAGACTGCCAAGGGAAGTGGTGCAGTCACTATTCCTGGAAAGTGTTCAAAAAATATATGGCTACGGCATTGAGGACATGGTTTAATGGTGAACGTGGTGCTGGGATGACGATTTGGACTTTATGATTTTAAAAGTCTTTTCCAAGATGATTAATGATTCTATGATTCCATTTAGTGATTCTGTGATTCTATGAGAGTATAAACTGTGAAAACTCTTTAGTTTTCCAGACTAGGGTCTCTTGAGTAGGAAAGCTGGTCGTGAGATGGTCCTGCCCCCAGCGTGACCACTCCATTCTCTTGGCTATACTTGACCCCATGACAAAACTGTGCATGCATGAACAAATCTATCCATGAGATAGAACCTACACTTCACAAGAGTTTGAATTTTATGATCTTTGAAGAGGCCCTGAGGCAAAACCCCACCCACTTTAGAAGAAGACTAAAGATGAGCTTTCAGTAGGCAGGTGTTTCTGGTCTACCTGGTTGCCCAGGTAAGTTCCTTTTGATAAAACTTCTTTCACACTGTTGTGCTTTGCTTTGTCTTTGTAATTGCTATGTCTCAGGGCTTCTAGAGCTTTGAATAGGTATCTTTCATTACCTTAAATATAAATAAATTGATAATATCATATAAGGATGATATAAGAGCAGACCAAGGACAGATGAAGCAGAGTAAGACAGGCATAAATGAGAAGTCTTCTTTGGCAAAACTGGGTAGGGGGAAAGAGAGAGACATGATATGACATCTCGGTCAATATGAGAAACCTTTTTGTCATTAGTAGAAAGGCCTCTGCTGAAGGGTAAAGAGAAAACATGAGTATCTGGCAGATCTCTGAGAGAAAGACGCTACCTTTGTGCAGTAAGAAGTCAAAGTGATGCCAGCCTAGTTTTCAAAGGGTCTGCACAAGCTGAAATAACTCTGATTTAACACTATATCCTACCTCAGGCCTCCTGTCACTTTTCCCAGGACACTTTTTTTTTTAAAACTCTGGAGTTTTAGGGTTCTGTGGGCATGTACCTGTCACCTTGCAGAAGAAACATGAAAAATACCCTATCAACTTGTAATTGGATAAATTGAAGGTAAATGTTTACCATGCTCACTTAGGTTGTTGGTCAAAGCCTTGCAAGGCTGAGGAATTCCTACTCTCCAGGCAATACACTGTCATATCTGCTCTCCATCTCTGCCTGGTGATTTTCCAGTTATGAGTCAAATCTAAGGGGATATAGCAATTATTTCATGCCAAAATTATCCCATTTCAATTTTTGTTTGATATTTAGGAACTGTTCAAAGTCTTCATTCCTGTGCATCAGGTGACTGTAGTTTTTTGCTATATGATACCTTTTGAAAACAAAGAAATACAGCTCTTTCCTATGTAGGTGATGCCTGTATTTGAGGACCATTAGTGTCTTTCTGGTTAATACTGTCTTAGTTACTAGTTTTCTTTTTGGAGAAGATATAGATACAAAATAACTTTGGTCTTGAACATTACGAAGCTTGCACTTCTTGTTTGAAACCAAGGCATGAGCCCAAATTTACCTATATTGGATGAGTTTGGTAAACCAGACTTCCGAATTTGCAGGACAGTTTTGGGGGCAAGGCCCGTGTGTATCATATTTTGTGAAGAGGTAGAGACAGTGAGAGTAGAAAATAGCTGTCATTATACGTTGTGCATTTTCTCAACAAAACATAAAGATTTTTAGCATGTGAACAAAAAGAGCCGACTTGGCAGCAGGATTGAGCACAGTGGCTCTGGAAGTCTGATAGGTCGATTATCCATGAGGTAGGAAGGATTTGTTCAATAGACCAGAACAGCTCAATTGGGGCCATTAAAGGATTTAGGAATCAAAAATCCATGTTTTCAATTTCTATGTCTGTTCAAACAGGTAACCAGTCCATTCTAGCCCATTCCCTTCCTCTCATAAAAACTCATGGCACTTATCAAAACCTGTACAGCATTGATCAGAGAGACTAACGGGTTTTGGAAACCACAGTGCCTTATGTGTGGGTAAGACATTTTAAGAAAGGTCAAGAGATATTTCCCAACCCTAGATGTTTACAGAGTAGATGCTAATCTAATCTGTCTAGACCATAACGCCCTTAAGAGACAGAAAAAATCCGGGTAAGTGAACTCCCAGATAAGTCTCTGTACCAGGTATGATTTAAAGGAATGGGACAGCGTGTGTCTCTTACAAGGGCATATGGTCTCTGGCTGCTCCCAGCTAGCACCTGAGAGACCTCTCCCAGATAGTGGCTGGCAAATTCTCCTGAATGTTGGTTGAATGTTAATCCTTGTTAACAGCACTGCCTTGACATCCCTGGAAACAAAGCATTTCTGCAGAGCTGAGCTTCCCCTCTGTGTTCTGCTGGTGTACTTTGACCCCAGGATGAAATTATCACTTCCAGGAATAAGACAGAGTTTAGTTTCCATTTGTGCTTGGCCCTTCTGCTCACACCAGCCATCTGGGTAGCTGCAGTGTCAGGGGAAATACATGGAGGCCAGGACACAGATTGAGGCCTCAGATTGCTGAATAGCACTGGCCATAAAGCATCTAACGGGTCATAGTAGTTATTACTTGATAGGTGCCCAGATCAGTTAAGCACCCCTAGAGAAGAGCTGAGCACTTTTATTTTCCACTGGTTGCCACATCTTATGGGGCTAATTGTGGCTGTGGTCCATCCTGATGTGGTCACTGGTAGGTTAACAGATCTTCCCTTCAGAGCAGTGACCTATAACTGACTGACCTCGTATTCAAAAGACTAAATTGGACTAGATTTTGAGACTTTAGAACAGTCCTCAGTTTTCTTAATTCCCCGATGAATTGCTTTGCCCAGTTTTAAAAAAGCAACAACAAAAAGACAGCATCTCATTTCAGATCTCCATCTAGGGACCTATTGTTACTTTAAAGCCATTGAAGCTATTGTTATTTGAAGAGAACTTGATTGCTTCTTTTAAAAAATCAAGACAATGGTAAGGTAAACATTTTTCAATCTAAATATCCCATTACCTAAACTGTAAGGCATGACAAATAATGATTTCTTCATCACCGTACAACCCTTACCTAGCCACAGTGTAATAAAACAAAAAAATATTAATGGCAGCCTTTCCTTTGAATTCACTTGCAAAGACCATTTTAGATGATAAGATTTTTCTCTTTGAGTCACAGTGTAGTACTATATACTTGCTTAGTTTTCATGAATGCTTTACTCTCCTTTCACTAAATGTTAATTTGCATGAGATACTTGTGGCTTTAAAGAGACAGCATTGGCTCTCTGTGTCTACCAATCTAATTTCCTTGCATCTGAAGATAATCACAGAGTTCTGGAGAACATCATCAACAGGGGATGTTTTGACAGGGGATACACTCATTTCTAAGTGCATGCACAAAAATGAAAGACATTAGTCATATTTTGTTATGTTCACACAAGTGACATTTAAAGATATAGTCCAAAAACATTATTGTTCAGATTGTGTAAATTTTTAACTTTCCTGAGGAAAGCATACCTTAGTTAGCAAGGTGTAATCCAAACTATAGTTTCTCATTTATTAAAGCTGTAAAAATACGTTTAATCAGCTGCATATGTCTGAAATAATAACAAAAATAACAGCATTAGCAAAAATTATCTGAACGTGAGAGAGCTGTAAATAGAATGGAGGTGAATTGGACAGTCAGCAGATTCAGAGTTGGATTAAAAATATCTTACTTAAGCCAAAAACATGGCAACCAATATTTTCTGTTATAAAAATATTTGAGATGAATTTAGTTTTATGAAAGCTGTCAGAAGCTGAAATTAATAGCAGAAGTTCTCTGTTTATTTACAAGCCAATGCTATCTATACCTGAACAGTAAAGTGAGGCACCTTACAAGCAGTGACAGCAAACCTTTGATTGTATTCAGAAATCTTTTTTTCTGGCAGATCAGAATGACCTGTGTGTTCATGTTCTCTCGGAGTAACCTCTGCCTTGATAATGCTTGTCATTTGAGCAAATGGTATGACAGGTCTGTGAGGTGGATTACTACTGTCCACTAGAGGCTGTAATGAGACCAACAATGCCATTTTATGACAGATTGAAGATTTGAACTGTAACGATCAATAATTGTGAGATTACTTTTCACACTCAATACACTGTCAATCACTGCATTTCCCTGAATGCTAGTGTTAAAAAAAATCCAACTTATTATGCCTCCTATTCTCCCATTTTTTATAAGTACTATTAATTGTATCAAACATGCTGCGTAGATGGCACATTACAACTAGTGAATTGAAAAACAGTTTCTTCTAGACAGTGTGCATCTTGCATGTCGAATTGTTTAGTATCTTTTGGTCAGATTATATTCTCCTGGGAGTCCTATCAGTTTCAGCACATCACCAGCAGTAAATGAAAACACTTGGGTCTGTGTGGGTTCTTGTGTGCCACTCACTTGCCTTCATCAGCACCTCGATGTTTTGTGGAATCCTTTATGCAGGGAATACATTGAGGCCCAGTATAGGCCCTTGGCAGGGAAGCTGCTGAGGCACAAGGGCATCTTGTGACATGGTTGCATATCCTGTATTTTAGGCCGTGTTTGTAGAGGCATAGTGCCCTCATCCCTCGTCTGTTAGTGCAATCAACATATATCAAGTCAGAACGGAGCTGAGAGTGCCTTATGAACCTGCCGTGGCTAGTGGCAGTTGTGGCACTTCCCAGAGCCATGGGTTAAGTGCCTGCTGGCTAAAGAAAGCACTACTGCTTTAACTTACAATGCACTTACATTGTGGGGCTCTCTTTTCTACGCTGAAGCAGAAACATAGACAAAGATGTAAAAGCCTAGAGTATACAGTGTGGCAAAAAATGAGGGTCCTGAGGCGAACACTATAGCCACAGAGTGGTGGAACACACAAGCCTCTTACATGAGCCTGCTGCAGAAGGGAAAGTTGCCCAAAGCTTGCTTCAGCATGAATGTGGCTTCTCTTTCTCTGCGTGTGCCACACCTCTTGGCAAGGTGAATGTTTGAAAAGGAAAGATTCCTTTCTCCTGAGGTAACACTCTGTACTACTGGAATAAAAAAGGTGGCAGACAGAATGCCTTGTACTCTGAATTGAACCTTGATGATGGGTTTTCAGTTTCTCCAGGGCTTTCACTTGATTTTCAGTAATCTCCAGTCTTTGTCTCTTTCCCTTGGTTCCTTTTATTAAATCAATGAACCTTACATTAGCTGGATGAATACAATTTTGCTGTCTGCTTTGCTGCTTTAGATTCACTCTCTTGTAGTACTGAGTGGCATATTTGTCAAGATATCTTGGCCTGTTGCTGCTTCTGTCTGCAGATCACTGCTAGAACAGAAATCATGTTGATTTTCATAGTGAACCTGAACTAAAGATACAGGAGATGCTGTGGTAAAAGATCCTTATGTTTCCTAAAGCTAGTCTGTATTACAGTATCAACTCTTAAATCCAGAATGCTGCGGCTTACAATGTTATTAGTACGTTCTTTAGCAATTACAGTAAGCCAGTACACTCCTTTATAGAAGGGACTCCTTTGCTGATCTGCATAATGGCAAGCTGAGTCCTAGGGTACTTTGCATCTAGACTCTTAATGCTAGATTTAATTTGCAGCTAAAACCTAATGCTAATATAAAACGGACACATAGGAGGTATACCTGCTAGAAACTTGGTACCTTGGAGCTTACTGTCATGGCAAATTGGTACAAGCTGCATTAAACAGCTTGATTTGGGTGGCCATGTTATATAGAGTGCACACCTCAGGCCTTTCTGAGGTCTGGGACCCCACAGAGTCCAGCTCCTTGGAGCTGGCGTGTAACAGCCTTTGGTATTTATGCAACATTTTCTTGCAACGTCCTTGGTGTGGGGAGGGGCCTCTGTGCTCTACTTCTCTTCCCAATGCCAAAGCAGAGAGTGAATGGCTTCTTATGGGCCACTGTTGGGTTGCATGCAAGCATACCATCCCACCATCCTTTGCCTGCATTTGTCCTATTCATTGCTTTAATAATTTGTTTTATTTCTTTAAGTTGCACCTAGCTTAGTAGCTTGATTTTTGGGGGTGTGGGTGGTTGTTTAAATTTTTTTTTTAACATGAAGACCAGACTGAGACAGTCCAGAAGGAAGATATTTTCTCTGGTCTCTGTTTTGCATCTGTGCCTGTTACTAGCCCATCGCTGTAGTTTGCAGACACCTGCGTTGAGGGAAGTAAGAGTAACACGCTGACACTGGAGTGCCAGCGTCACAGGGGAGTGTAAGTTGCCATAGTTGGTGGGGCGGGGGGGAAGTTCGGGAGTGGCTCCCAGTGGTCTGCAGACAGCCGGGAGAGATGCAAAAGGATCTTTGATGAAACCAGTGCTGAGGAATCCAGAGGGAGTTAGTACCCAAACATGCGTGGTTCAGCCCTGCCTGTCTTGTAGTTCAGTGACGGTATGAGTCAGAGTCTCTTTGGTCTGAATGAAGTGGAAGGTACTTTCTACAAAGCAACTCAAGCATATGCCAAGGATCTGGATAAATAAAACTAATTCAGAAAAAGGGAGTGGGATGCAGGCTCTTGCTCTAAATCACTTCACAGTTCGCCACAGCAAAATGCAATATGGCATCTTAAATAAAATCACCCTCTTCTGACTCTCGCAGAGGCTGCTTCAGAGCATTCCCTGGTTTCCAGCACAGTTTTATTTCCTCCCTTAGAGAGACAGACCAGCCTTGACTGAGCAACCGATTTTCATGCATCCTTTAAACCAGCATACCCTGCCTTTTCTGAAGGACAGCACACGTCGCTAGCTGTTTCTTCCCCCTTAAACAATATAGGTTCGGGGTTGGGTTGGTTTTTTTTTTTTCTTTTTCCCCTCCCCATCTCATTTTTTTCCGCCTGCAAAGTGATTTGAGAGCCCCGCGACGCAGCCTGCTACAGGAGCGGGGACTTCTCTGGAACACTGGCGTGCACAGGGATTAATCCCACCGTAGAGAGCCAGCCTGGCCTTTGAAGTGTTACAAGGGGAAGGAGGAGGTAAGTGTCGAGGCGAGCCCCCAGCCCCCCTCCCCGCCCTCGAGCAGCGTGCGGCGGCCCGCAAAGGGTTAAAGGCCGCCTTGGCCCGGCGGTGCCGTGCGTATGCAATAATCTGTGTGGCTCTCTTGGCCGACTGCCAAAGTGTTGCCTTGCCTCCTCCTCCTCCCTTCTCTCCCCCCCTTCCCTCCCCCCCCC